GCAAAGAAATCCATAACCAAGTCAGACCTTTAAAGTTTTTAAGTCTCAGGCTTCTGCATGTACAATATCTGTAAGCATGACAATGACCAATGCAGCATTTAAGAAACACAACTGGCTGCACATGAACATGTGATGTGATGAACCACACATTTCTATTCATACCAAGTTATATTTCAACATTAACTCAAAACTACAATACAGCTGTGTTTAAAGTATCATCCCAGTGATTCTAAGGCCACCAGCATTGTCCATTTCTTATATATAGTACAGTACTGTTTATGACAGTGATGCTAATGTTACTCCAGCCTCCTGCCCACTGTTCAGCTAAGTCTCTAGTGTAACAAATGCAAGCTGACAAGAAAACTGAGTGAGAAAATTCAGATACACAGACTCACTATACCCACATACAAACATATATACATGCACACACACATAAACACACACACACACAATATATATATATTTATATATACATACATACTTACATATGCTGAAGTCTGCAGTCCTGTCTGCTCCTAATATTACCATTAGTGAGTGACAACGGGGCCCTGTGGTAATTGTCAGTGAGAGAGGGGTGAGGTAGGAGGGTAATGGAGAAAAAAGGAGAAGAGGGAGAGAGAAAGAGAGAGAGAGAGGAATCTCAGGGGAAAACACCTGTCTGCTGTTGGTCTCTACACTAACTCCTATTCCCTTCTAATGAGCTCTAATGTTATTCTCCTTCTTCTAATTAAAAGAAGGCAGCTTTAGCTAGGCTTCCACTCAACCTGCTAAGACTAGCACTGAGGTCATGAAGGTCACATTTAAGTTAGATTCCATTGCTAACTTACTTGGACGTACAGTATAGTGTGAATACAATACAGGTGCATGTAAACCGACTGATGTGTTTGAGGTAAAAAAAAAAAAAAAAACACTGTGGTTTCTTTTTATACAGTTAATGAGTCTAAAATGTTGACTTTTGTTTTTGATTTAAACATGTTTTAATGTTTAAATGCACCCAAATAGATTAATTTGTTCTTGTACAAAGTTTTTAGTAGAGGTATTTCATCTAGTTAAACCATATTGGTACACAATGAAACCATATTTTAATGCAGAAATTCAGATTCAGGTTCTCATACAGTGACATCCAGAGAGCCCCTGCCTCACTGGGGGAGACGGTCAGTCCCTGTTATCAATAAATAATGCTAAGTCAACACTCTCACCTCCAGCAGCCACCAATGGGTTTTTTGGCACAGCCCATCTTTGTATATATGAATTTTTGATCATCCAATTTATCAATATTTTAGGGAGTGAGTGTCAGACAGTGGATTCTGAGCACGTGTTAGCATTCAGCACAGCTTCTGACTTGGGTGACATGGTTTGACCTGAGCAGTGACAGAGGAGAGAAGAAGTCATTCAGGAATAAGAAATAAGACATTGATTTTATTTTCAACATAAAGAATCTGATTGGACCTTAATGGCACAGAGCAGTTCATCTGTGTGAGCTGGTGGTTAAAGGAGGAGGCGTGACGATGCAGCAGTGATACTGTCACGTTCTCAGCACGGTCCTCTCTGTCAGCTAATGTGACTGCTATGATGAAGAACATCATTCTCCTCTTATAGAGCAGTAAAGTGGGACGTTCCAAAGGGAGTAAAAATACTTTGGTCAATTGAGCTTTTATTTAAATGCTTTAAATATATTAAATTTATTTAATATATTTATTGGCAAAGTGACAACTTTTAGTCATGGCTAATTGTTTGAAACTGTGGTAACATTTGCAACACAGAGCCAAATTAGCTAAATTTAAAGCTGTGGAAATAATCTTGAAATTTAAGGGCATGCTGTTTTTTAAGTGTTTAAGTGTTTTTAAGAAAAAAAGTCAAAATGTTGAAGAATTAAAGATAAAAGAAAAGAAAAACATAACATAAAAAGTCAAAAAAGCTAACAATTAGCCAAAACAATTGTTAAATGTCAGGAAATAGCAAAAAGCTATTAGACAAATGCTAACTTAAATAGCAAATAATTTGCTGAAGTAGGTCTTAAGGTAAAAAAAAAGAAAAAGAAAACAACCCTGACATGTATTCATAAAAATAGTTTAGATTAATACAAATGAAAAACAGCTAAATTCATTCAAATTAACATATGAATGATTAACAATGACAACAATTAAAATGATCAAAAATATTTTAAAATGGCCATAATAAATTGCAATAACTTTGCATCAATAGCTCACATTTCAGAACAGATGTATCTTCTTCACAACAGTAAAATGAACACAGGAGGCAAACAGCAAAGCTCTGGTTCCCTGGTTCTTTCACTTCTTTCTTTTTTTCTCTTCCTTCCGTCTCCCTGTCTGTTCTGTGATGACAGAACACGATGAGGATTCTGGGGTGAAAACATGCAGACACTCTGGTTGGGGCCACACCCAGCTGCTGCCAGTGTGGCCGCACCGCTGCTGTCCTCCTGCCTCATGCTTTCAACAAACACTGTCTCATTTGCTCTGTTTTTGTGTGTGTCTGTTTCTGAAATATCTATATTTGTGGGGACAAGTAAAAAAGAAAAAGACCATTGTTGTGAGGACACTGAGTCTTTTTTGGGACACTGTGTCTGAACAGTTTGTGAGTGTGTTTTGTGGTTCAAAAATGTAGTTTGGAGATGAGATTAGGTTAAGGATTACCATATCTAGTATGGTAAGGGGTTTGAGATGATGTCTACTCTAAGTACTTGTGTGTGTGTGTGTCTGTACTCGTTCTCTACCTCATCTGTATTCTCTCTCAGTTCCTCTGACCTCTATCTCTGTTCTAGTCACACTCATTCTCACTCTATTTTCACATCTGTGTATTCGATCTATGATCTGTGCATTTGCTCCTGCATTGCAGCTTGTACGTATGCGCTTATATACAACGTGACATACACACGAACACAAACACGAACACAAACACACACACAAACACACACGTGTGTATACTGCTTCATGTCCCCCGCGCTCTGCTCTGTAATAAGAGCAGCTGTGGTTGACATGAGGCCAGCTCTGATTCAATTGCAGTGCAGGACTTAGGGCTATTATCCTCTGTACTGGAGGAGGAGATGGAGGAGTGGAGGAGGAGGTGCGCAGCTGCTCCTCCAACGACAGGTCTGGTGTGGCCTTCAGTGAACCAAATTCAGACTTCAAATGGGAGGGCAAATGAAAACACACTCCTCCAGTGTTAATTATCATGTCAGAGGCTGAGGCCTTTGAATAAAGAGGCTGTGGAAAATACACTCATGTCCTGACACTTACAGTTAAGAGTCCAACCTTTCACGGGTGCATACATATATAGTGTACATTATATTACTAATAATGATATTACATATATGTTGTATATGTATGTATGTGTGTATATATATATATATATATATATATATATATATATATCTTATGCATATTATGCATTGTAATGTAATGTGATATATTGTAATGTAATATTTGGCCAAAGTCATTTTAGGAGGAATACAGATCATATATAACGAAAGGTTTGTTTTGTGGGTAGTGTATCCCACATGGTCCACATACAGGTAAGAGAAAATATTTACCAATTCTAGCCCATGTCTTCATCTTCTCTGAAAATCTTATTTTGTTCTGGTTGAAATTGGTGGCTGAAACGTTGTCTTGTTCTATACTGTAGAGAAGACTGCTTCTTGGGCTTTCATAGAATTTCATGTCTTTAATGACCCACATCTGGAGTTCTGGGTCATAAATATTGTATCAGTGTCTGGGTCAAAAACTTTTTTCATAAGATAGGTTTGCTATGCCCAACAATGGACCATGTGATGCAATTTTTAGGTCACAAAATACTAGATGTGGACCAGTGAATGCCCATAATTAATGGCTATTGATAGGGGACCAATGTAGTTAATTTGGCTAAATCACTAATAGAACAAAATTCAAAACTGCCAAATCCAATTAACCTGGCCCACATTTGTTACTGCCCAGTTGCCCAATGTTGGGTCAGTCTGACCTTACAAAGTGCCAAAGGGTAAAGAGAGAAAACTGTCTCTTGTCCCAGTACCATGCTGCCATCACCCGAGGCAGCAGAAATTCCTTCTTTGTTAAAGAAATAACTGTTTCTGTAGTTTTTTTCCTTCCACGGTTTTTTCGGACTTGTGCCACTGGAATGCCTGGAGGCTGTAATTACAACCCAATACTGTACGCTTTGGGAATTTCCCCCATGACTGACAGTAAATGTGAGACAGTTTTATTCTTAGAAAGCCTCAAAAGAAGCAGCAGGACAAAAATAGTTCAGAAGAAAGAAGCTGGTAGTAGTTTTGACGGACGCAGGAAAATCAAACCAAACAGATCAATGGAGAGAGAGGTAGATGTTGACGTAGTAAATGAGACAGAGTGTAGAGGAGGACTGGGGGAAATTGGTGATTAGGAGGTGGAGACGAGTTGAGGACGGCTTAATTAGATGTAGAAGGAGGAGGTCTTCTCTCAAACAAACACCTCCACCACATTGGCTTTCTGTTCAGATTTCTACAACTAAAAACACTCAGACATTAAGTCAAAACTGTGTCTCTGCATGGAAGAGCCTGGATCAGAAACCTTCTCCATCCACCCTGGGCGGATGTGTACCACTATGAATAATGCATCAAGGATGGGTGGAGGCCACTGGGTGTGTGTTCACATACAGGGGGAAAAAAGGGTGGGGGGAGTCGTAGTAATTGTGGTAGTAGTAGCAGCAGTGGCGGTTCCACCCCCTTCTCCTTCCACTCTCCTCCCCTCTACTCCTCACCCAACCCCCTAGCTGACGCCCGCACTGCAGAAGGTCAGAGAGGAGGAAGAGAGACACCGAGGTGGAAGCACACAGAGAGACAGAGAGAGAGAGAGAGAGAGAGAGAGAGAGAGAGAGAGAGAGAGAGAGAGAGAGGGAGAGAGAG